GATTGATGTGATGATCATCCCAGATTGATGTAAAAAATCACTACATTGCCAGATTGACGATATCTCCCAGTAGTGAATTTTACATCCCAGTGATGTAAAAAATCACTACATTGCCAGATTGACGATATCTCCCAGTAGTGATTTTTTACATCCCAGTGATGTAAAAAATCACTACATTGCCAGATTGACGATATCTCCCCAGTAAATGGGAGATTGATGTAAAAGATCAATGGGAGATTGATGTGATGATCATCCCAGATTGATGTAAAACATCACTACATTGCCAGATTGACGATATCTCCCAGTAGTGATTTTTTGCATCCCAGTGACGTAAAAAAATCACTACATTGCCATATTGACGATATATCCCCAGTAAATGGGAAATTGATGTAAAAAATCAATGGGAGATTGATGAGATGATCATCCCAGATTAATGTAAAAAATCACTACATTGCCAGATTGACGATATCTCCCCAGTAAATGGGAGATTGATGTAAAAGATCAATGGGAGATTGATGTGATGATCATCCCAGATTGATGTAAAACATCACTACATTGCCAGATTGACGATATCTCCCAGTAGTGATTTTTTACATCCCAGTGATGTAAAAAAATCATTACATTGCCATATTGACGATATATCCCCAGTAAATGGGAGATTGATGTAAAAAATCAATGGGAGATTGATGTGATGATCATCCCAGATTGATGTAAAAAATCACTACATTGCCAGATTGACGATATCTCCCCAGTAAATGGGAGATTGATGTAAAAGATCAATGGGAGATTGATGTGATGATCATCCCAGATTGATGTAAAAAATCACTACATTGCCAGATTGACGATATATCCCCAGTAAATGGGAGATTGATGTGATGATCATCCCAGATTGATGTAAAAAATCAGTACATTGCCAGATTGACGATATCTCCCCAGTAAATGGGAGATTGATGTGATGATCATCCCAAATTGATGTAAAAAATCACTACATTGCCAGATTGACGATATCTCCCCAGTAAATGGGAGATTGATGTAAAAGATCAATGGGAGATTGATGTGATGATCATCGCAGATTGATGTAAAAAATCACTACATTGCCAGATTGACGATATCTTCCCAGTTTAGAGAGAGCTATTTACCTCAACGTTAAACAGAGTTCTCTTTGTAACTTCATTTTTCCCGCAGAGCTTCACCATCTTCAGATTTTTCATAATTTCACTAAAACAATTTATATATATATATAATTCCAGCACTATAATATCGAGAGTTTCTGCAACGAGGTGATTGTAATTTGTAATTACAATAGGGTTTTAATATCCATAATCATTTACGTAAAGCCTAAAGCGTTCTAGTCTATTTTATCCCTCCTTTAATAATGAATTACAAACACATCACTGTTTCGCTCATTTAATTACGCACTTGTACAGTAAGTACAGTATTAATTGCACCAAAAGTGCATTACTTATCCACTATAAAGTAATTTACTAATGATCTTCTTATTATCACATGGCTGAATATTAGAAATTTTTTAATGAAAAAAAAGTTTAATTAGCTTACAGACTGTGTTTATTATATGAGATAAGAGTACTCGTTGTTCGGCCGGAAGTGGCCGAGTCAATGCGACCGCTGATTGCTGTTTATTCGCTCCAATCGTAGCTTCAGGCAATTAAAAGGTTTCTTCCGTGTGTAAGTGAATACGAATCAGTTTCGCTTGGAGAGTTATTCTGCTTCTAACCAATAACTTTCAAATGTTTTGCTGTAAAAGAACAAACATAATTATTATTAAAAAATACGATAAAATAAGCTTCATTTGCTACTTAATGTTACTGCTAATATTTTGTTTTCCTTGTTTTATGCCGCCTGCTATTTGCGTTATTCAAATTATATCTAAAATGCGTTTACTGTAGAAAATGTAAATGAATATATCTCTAATCTAATTTTAAAAGGTGCAAATAGAAGCAATTGTAAACAACCAAACATTAAACCGAATATCTTCCGGTTTGGAAAAATTATTTTAACAAATAACACGTTTCGATAAAATTTTCATGCACTTTCATTTTTCACTTTCTATTCTATTCTTTTTAGAGGCGTTGATCCAGAAGGGCTATTAGTGTCAAAACGGAATTTTGTGTCAAATCACTTTTCACATTGTTGCCACCAACTATTATCGTTCTGTATTATTATTTAAAGAAATTAAATAATGGAGAATCTGCATTAATATGCATGTTTCTCGCATTATAAAAAAACAGAAACAGTACTTACAGCCATCAAATTTTGAATAACGTAGTCCTACCTCCCGCAATATGAACGCGTGGAAACCTGAATTTCGAAGTATTATCATCTACTTCATATTTTGGAAAGTTAAATGATTTTTTAATTAAATAACTCAATGATTTCAAAGCGAGCAGTGGTAACACTACTGAATAAAACATTTTTCTTTCCAGCGCGCTAGACTGTCTGTCGAAAGATATGCTGTTTTTAAATATTTTTAGCCAATAGTGGCGTTAGCCGAAATGCTCTCGAAACGTATATGTGTGTGTAAATTAAAAACGCCCTTTTCGACGTAATATAAAATCTGAAAGCTTTCAGATATCTTAAAGATATTTATACAGATATATATAAAATCTGAAAGCCTTAAGATTTTATTTATCTATTTATAAAACGTAACGTTAATTAATCACCATGCTTTCAGCTTTCTTTAAAGAAAACCCGTTTAAGAAACATATAAATACTTTTCTAGTAAATAAAACCGTACTGTTAAAAAAATGCTCGATTTGTCCTAGATTATATTTTGGAAATAACAATCATCATTTCTTTGTCTTATTTCTGCATTTCGTGGCATCAAATATGTATCTTTAAGCTCTTGTAAAAACTTCTTTAAAATATGAATGTTCATACCCAAACGTATCATAATTAAATTTGTATTCTATTAATAATCCTAAGCCAGCAGAAAATTTTAAATATTACTCTTACAACACAATTTAATTGCGTAGATGAACTTCTGTTTTAGAGCAAATACAGGGTGTCTATAAAAGAATGTCCCAGTTTTAATGATACAATATAACAGCTTAATTTAGATTATTTACAATAAATTATGCATACAATTGAAGGTAAACTAGCCTAGGTATTTCTTACAAGTGTTCAATATGTGCACATTTACGTTCAATATGTGCACATTACATCATGCAATACAGCACACATGCAGCTTATTGTCCAGGTTATATAATTCTGTGTCTCATCTCTGGAAAACCATTAGGTAGCGGAGGAAAGTAGACAAGATCTTTTATAAAGCCCCAATGGAAAAACAATCGCATGGCCTAAGGTCAGGTTAACGTGAAGACCAGCGAAAAAGAACTCTGTCTTCTCGACCATTAAGATCAATTCAACAGTCACGGGCTTCGACGTTACACTCTCGTACAAATAGATTCCAATGGAGAGGAGCTCCAGTTTGTTCCGAAATAATGTTTATAGGTCACCCCCTCAACTAACTGGGGAAAGAACCGTTTCTGTAACATATCCAGATAAGCCAACCCTATTACAGTAGCTTCAGCGAAACAAATAGTCCGTATACAAGGCAGAAAACGTTTAATTTTTGAGGAATCTTTTTGATGTTCTACAAGATCATGAGGATGTTCTGACGCCCCTATATACTAACATTATGGGCATTAACCCTTCCTACTCATATGAAAAGTTAACTCATCACTGAACACCACACGATTAAGAAAGTTATCTTCCCCCTCGAACGTTTCACTTGAAAAGTTAAAATGCACACCATAGTCATCTGACTTTCAAGCATGTACCAACTATAACTAGTATGACCTCGGGCGTAAACCTTTTCTTAAAAATCTTCCGAACTGTCGTCTTGCCAACTGAAGTTCACAACATTATTTCCTAACAGGTTTTTTGGAATACGAAAGATCTAAGTCTTTCAGCAATGGAGGATCCATTATAACGAAGGATCGATTGTGGGATCTACTCTTTCAGTTATCACGCAAAGATACAATCTTAATAATAAGCCAGGCGAGAAGAAATAGCACACAGGGAAAAAATTTAATCTGCCTTTTATTTGATTAAACTCTCTAACAAAAATGCACGTACTTCGTACTCACAATAACACCTACTACTTGCAGTAGAAACTTAAGAATAATTTAACAATAAATCTCAAAGAGTAGTGCTGGACTACTTAAAACTGACTCAGGAACCTACCCTGGCGATAGACTTCTAGAAATGGCCAGAAGGCGGAGCAGCAATTAAGATTAACAGCAGGAAGAACAAAATAGCAACGTGCGCTATACAAGCGAAATCACGCTCTGTCTAACTTCCAGTTCCTGTTCTGATGTTAAGCCGCGACCCGTTTAAATACTCGGGCATGTGCTTATTTAAAACTGCTCGTTTCTATTTAAAACTCTTTAGTTGTGATCCTGAAGCAACACTCTACAACATTTGCAGTTTACACTATTAAAATCTATAACTGGAACATTCTTTTATGGACATACTGTACATTGTGAAAAGGGATTTATGTTGGTGTTTGCACTAATAGTTTGTAGAGACACTAGGCATAGTTTGGAAGCAAGCAAGACGAAAAATTAGCAACGCCTTCGCCCGGAATCGAACCGCGAACCTCTAGAATGCCGGCCCAGTGTGCAGACCTCCACACCACGAAGGCACGCCAAGAAGGTGGCAGTAAACATGCAAGTAAACATATATGAAGATGATTGAAAAAATAAACACTGCTCAGAACAAATGGAAGTTCTGTAACTTTCAAAGGTATTCAGGTTTGCATTACTTAAATGACATACATTTCATCCATCTAGAGTTCAGTATTATCTTATATACTTCTGTAACTGTTTGTACTATTCTACTGAAAGGGAAGATTAATATCGTATCTAAAATATTGTGTAATTTAATTTGGAGTTTTTATACATTAAACAACGTCATACATTTAATGATTTCAGTGATTTCTTTTTGTTAAAAACTTTCCTGTTATAATTTCACAAATGTACACAAAAACAATTTTTTTTAATTTCAAATGTACTAGAACAAGCTTAATTCTTAACTGCAAGCATTTCACTCGCTAACATTTGGTTTCGTTTCTACGCAATATAAAAATTTATAAATGAAATAATTTTTCCTCGCAGAAATAAGCATTTCATTTTTTACTGTGCAAATAATGCATTTACTCGCAAGTGGGAGATTTTAAAAGAAGGTAGAAATAACCAATTAAGGTGATTTCATAATTTCAATACAGTCCAACTCCGCTGAAATGAACTTCAACGGACCAAACATCTGATTCGCTGTCTGTATTCTGAAAAGGAAAAAAAAAATGGATCATTTTACAAAATAGTGTAAAATTTGATTCATGAATCATTCAAAAACAGGGATAAGCATTATCACATCTCCAAAAAGATGTCATTAGTAACTTTATTTTTTTTTAAAGTGTTAAAAAAGACCGCATATAACCTGAAAATTTTAATATATAACTTTAGAAATGGTAAAAGAATTTAAGTATAAGAAAGTATCAGTTAATATTAAAAAATCTAAGCAATCATGATAAGAAAATTCTTATTTATGCAAAATGAATTCTTTTATTTATAACGTCAACAACAATAGCGATGCCAACTAGCTTCCACAATAAAGTTCCTAGATCCTGAACATCACTCACTTTGTACTAAATCTTTTGGACCAGTCAATTAGTAAATCCAATTTTGGTGAAGCAGTTTGGTCAATCCAGTTTTTTTTTTGGGAGGGGCGGACAAACTGGACCCTAGAAGTTAAAAATCAAACATCCTTCCAGAGTTTTGGAAGCAAGAATAAATGAAAAGGAGATGATTTTATGACACAGCTTTTCGACTTATCCTTGTTCTTTTCGAGCACTGTATTCTTTCTTCTCTACGCTCCATATTTCTTGACCTGTAACAAAAAAATCTGATGTGTACACCACATGACTTCCTTGTACGGAATATTAAATTATACGCATTTTTTTCTTGAATTTCATTTAAATTGATTGGATTGAATTAAATCTAATCGTCGACAGCGCATAAACCACAAAAGAATAAATGCACTCTTTAAAATTCACTATATTTGTTTACTATAACGACACTCTGAATGCACAAAATTTATATCATTTGAAGAATTATCGTTGCCACATGTTCTATTCAAATACTATAATAAAGCTAAAACGATGTATGAAAGAAATTAAGCAAACAAAACAGAAAAGAAACAGTTTTTCACAGACGATTTAGTATTTCTCATTCAATTAATTCAGCTCTCACTTCGCGACAAGGCAAAAATACATAAAAACTCAAAATATCTGCATTAAAAATTACGAAGCAAATCTTAAACACTTATTTCCTCGAAAGAATTCCAGAAAGGATTAAGCATGATTTAATTCGCAATAATAAATGAAGGCGTTATTTTTGTGTTGCGAAGCTTAGTCTCTCTAGATTGGCAACAAATCTACAAATCTACAATTCTGCTGTTTCAAATGTAAACAAATATGTCCGCCATGTTATTTAAAACTTAACCGCACTTAAACAGCTTTTAAATTGTTGATAATTGTACAAATATCGCTTCCAGAATTACGAAAGGCATAAAATCCTTAACCGGAAGATAAAAACAACATAATTCAATCATTTTTAAAGCAAACAATGTACAATTTACAAACATATAAAAGTAAAGATACTGAGATCACTGAGGGTAACAGAGTGGATATATATATATAAATATATTTTATATACGTTTGGTGCGGCCGATTGCAACCAAAATACGAGGTGCACATCTACATGTTATAGAAGTCCTATATACAAAATTTCAACGTTCTGAGGCTACTCGTTTTTGAGTTATGCGAGATACGTACGTACGCACGTACGTACATACGTTCGTACAGACGCCACGAAAAATTCTCTTCAGAATTCATTTGAAAGCAGTTTTATAATTTTTTTGGAGGAAAGGTGTCTTTTATTCTGTCCTTATGCACAGATATCACGCAAAACCATCGTTAAATTGCATTCGATAGCGGTGAAAATGGATATTTTCGTTGAAATGTGTTGCCTGAAACTTTTCGCGATTACAATACTTCCTTTTTACTTCGTACAAGGAAGTAAAAAAAGAGGGATGGTTAATGGATGGTTATAAGGAATCATCGTGTAGCGTATGTTGGCATCAAAGATGCATGGCTGTATTTAAACTCACCAGAAGCGAATGCTCATTTTGCAAAAAACTGAATACATTTTAGCACTGAATATACCACCGAGATGTCTGGAACAATTTGTAATCGTTGGGAGACATACAATCACAAATGAATATAATAAACTTCTATAAAAGATTTGGAATTCCGGTCTAAGGTGTTTTTGAGAGTATCTTTCAGAAAAAAAATGCCATCATCTCTCTTTTACATGCAAACAAGAAAGCTCCAATTTCTACAAGTATGTGTGAACGCGGTTTTCCAGAATGTACTTCAATAATAACTTTGTAGAATCATTAGGTTAGTTTTAAAATAGGAGTGATGACAAATGAGCAAAGCCCTCGCCGGGAATCGAACCACGGACCTCTGGAATACGCGCCCAGCGTGCATATCACTACACTACGAAGGCATGCTAAGAAGGCGGGAGAAATACCTTATAACTTCAGCAAGAATTTCGTTGCATTTAAGCACGAAAGCAAAATAATATTTATAATCTTAGTAGATCCTTCTATATTTTGGTAGATTCTTTCTTCTTTTATTTAAGCCTTTAGTATATATAAATTCATTATTTTTTAAAGAAGGATATCTGGCGAGGGATACCAAAAGCGAACAAAGGAATCAGGATGTTTGTGAACAGAACCTCATGCAAGTTTGAAAGTAATTGCAAGCTATGTCACTTGAGAAGTAATGCTCGTTCTTGGCAAAAGCTTTTGTCCATTGACTGTATTTGTTTTCAAATTTTAAATATAAAAATAGTGATTTTTTAGTCAAGCTTAAAATGCTCTTAATATTTTTAAAGAATTATTACAACTTACTTTCTCTCTCTTTCCAGCATGTCTCCGTGGTGTAACGTTAGCCCACTCGGCGCGTATTCGAGAGGTCCAGCTTCGAGTCCTGGGGAAGGCATTGCACATTTTTCATGTCTCCCGCTTAAAAAGAAACAACGAATTAAACCTAATAATTCTTTAATGGCGCCCGAACGAAAAGCTGGTGGACGACAATTCGTCACCAACAGGATTTGGCAAATGGGTACCCGAATCCCCTCTCGCCCTTTAAAAGGGAGAGTGTATAATGTTAGCATCGTATTTTCTCTCTCCTTCCAGCATGCATTTGTGGTGTAACAGTAGCACACTCGGCGCGTATTCGAGAGGTCAAGGTTCGAGTTCCGGCAAGGGTACTGCATATTTTATATGTCTCCTTATTAATATAAGCAGTGATGCTAATGACTTTACAGCATCACTGCTTATATTAATACATATCGCAACTAAAATTTTATCTCTAATGCAGAATATTTACTTTTTTCGTTTCTTACTTATAATTAAATGATATTTAAGAGAATTAATTCACATAATAAATATGTTGGTTTTCTATCTTTGCTTACTCCAAATGTATATTTATATTACTTTAAAATGAATATGAGATGGGTTGTGGCTCAAGCAATCTGTCTTTGTTTCAAATTCAGAATCGCCATGTAGCTCTACTTTGAGCCAATTGAAGAAAGTCTCATATAATAACATTGAAACTACGTTAAAAGTTATGAACAGCATTATAATATTTAAACATGCAAACTTACGTGCTTACCTTTCAGAATATGAATTACGTGAGAAACAAGTTCGTATAAAACGACGAGAGAAAATTTACGATTGATTTCTAATTTGATTTTATTTCTTATTTGTAGTTCTCTAGTTGTTGGTAACGACTGAAAATGGATTAAAAATTCCCATTTGACAACAACATGTCGTTTATTTTAGTTTGAATAGCTGCACTTCCTTGCGTCAGTATCACGCGGAAATGCAAATGAGCAAAATTCGTTTTCCTTTCTCGTCGTTGTCGAACAGAGAACGACTACTTTTGCGCTGAGGGAATCACGTCAGGCAATTTCATACATTGAGGTTTCCGAACTTAAGATTGGATAGTATGAACCGGTGAAAATTTTAATGTTACACCTTTAGAAAATCTGAATATTATACAGAATATTACATAAAATTACGTAGTTAAATATTTCTTGATTGATTAGTCGCAGTCCAGTATCTTCGGTTTAAATAAGATGAGGTCGACTTTCAAGGATACTTTCTCATTTGCTTATTAAAAGAACGCCATGATAAGTGGAATACTTTTAATGAACAAATGCAAAACTTAAATATTTACGCCTCCTGTCTAACACAAGAGTTACGCTAGTAAGTTGTTCCTTACTGACATTTCTGTAATACTGAAAATTTAATTTCTTCCGAAAAAGAAATTGTCATAATTTTATTACAAACCATTTTCTTCTAATCAAATATAACAACAAAAATGTGAATTTCACAAAAACTTATATCTTTTTTTTTTTTATCTGTATCGTTCAAGAGGTATCTTTTAGAAATTTAGAAATCTGCATCAGAATGCGTAAAGCTTCAAATTATTTTTTACCTTAATTATCAGAAAAATCATTAACTAAAATTTTTAAATTAGATATTTGATCCTTGATTTCTGAACTGAAGGTTTTTGTTATGGAATAATGTGTTATCTCTCGTAAATTTGATCCTAATATCACTGAAATTTGATTATAATATATTTGCACAATAATAAAATGATGCTTTAATTTCCTTTCTTCTTTTCAGACGAGATTTAAAGAAAGAAAAAACTTTAATAAAATAATCTTATGCATTCAACCATAGCTATTTAAAAACTGTAAGGTATTCTCCCAGCTACTAAAACTCATGTAAAGTTCTTTCCTTAAGTACAGTTAAGAAATTTCGCTCTTTTTCTACCGTTACTTCACAAATCTCTCTTTACTTAACGTTTTCACCTCCAGTATGATTACAGAATGAAATATGTTTATCTTAGTAATAAATATTCACTCATTTTATTATCTTGTAACTTTTACGTTTCCTTCTACTCTACGTAGTAGACTTTAGCGGGCGTGTATCCAATACAAGTTTTTTAAGAGGATTAACGGACAATGATAATAAGGTAGGGTTAGTTAAACATATTACTTATTTTAACAAACACTTAACGTAATGGCAATAAATGGAATATTTTTTATAAAGTTTAACTGCAATTAATTAACAGAAAGACCAGAAGTAACAAAGTGTTTTTGAAAATATTGGTGCCGAAATTTTTGAGGAGAAATTTTTGGGCTAATCTTCTTCTTAAAGTCATGAGAATTAATAAAGAAGTTGCTATAAATAATTTTGCTTAAATGCAGTTCTAAGCGTGATTTCTAAATAGATGAAACTTTTGATATTTTTAATTGTGAAGTTAATTAATTAACGGTAAATGTAGAACTATGCTCCTCAGAAATATGTATTTGATTGCAAATTTTATGAGTTGCCATCCTTAACTAATAACATCTGAGGTCTTTCATATAAAATAAATCTTTCAGTAGAATCACATTCTCATTAATATGTCGTCGTGATAAGAACAGGCAAGTTTTTTTTTAACATGCTGTTTGAATTCGAAATACAAATTTAAATTTTATAATAGCATAAAAAATATTTTTTAATCATTTTAGAATTTATTTCAGGTTAAATTCCTAATTTTCAATTCATTTTCACGTACGACATAAAATGTATAACTATTGCCAAGACCAATCTACAGCTGAAGTGATTTTTAATGAATAAAAAATTTGTCTGCAGAATGAAAGATCAATTCGCATAATTTCATTTACATCAAAGAGAAAACAGCTTCATAACAATTTATGAATTCTTTGCAAGCAACACTTTTATAACGGGTAAGTCAACGTTTGAAAATAATACTAAGTTAGATTTTAGAATGATAGATATTTTAATTTATACGTTTCGGAAGCTGTTTCAAATGTTCTTAGCTGGCTCTTCATAGAAAAAAAATTAGAATCACGTCGATGATTATCTGATTACCAGATATCATGTTTTATCCATTAATAATAATAATACTAAACACACGGTCTTTGCTTAAACATACAATATTATCAGGTGTAATAATAAAAAAAATGGTATAAACAAAATTGACATGATAAATAATAATAAAACCAATAACAACGTTAACAATAGTTTTGTAAATATTGTATACATTATCGAACTTCATAAACTCAAGCAGCAGAAGTTATAATAGTTTTAACACGTATATGAAGCTTAGTAATCAATGCAAACACAAGCAAATATTATAAGGTTATTATTTGAAACAATCCAGTCATAATTTCAGTCTTTACTGTAACTTTTCTTTCCTCAATAAAATGGAAATCATTTACAAGTAAAGTGAGGTTATTTGGATTGTAAGGCAAAATGTGTTTCTACCCCTCGTGGCCACGTTACGTAATTCCTGCCAGCTATGATAAATGTTTAATTCTTCGGCTTTGCGTTATTGCTGATGATTTGTAAGTTGTTACGTAGGTCAGAGTTTTGAGCTAACTTCGATTTAAATTTAACTGTCTAGTCTTTGACTATTAGTCTAGGTTTTAAACTTAAATTAATCTTTGACTATTAGTCTAGGTTTTAAACTTAAATTAATTTTTGACTATTAGTCTAGGTTTTAAACTTAAATTAATCTTTGACTATTAGTCTAGGTTTTAAACTTAAATTAACTATTACTTTATATGCATCGCCACAAATGTTGTTTGATTTCTGTTAGCACGAGAAATGCATTTATATTCTAAGGTCTGTTAAATAATAAAACTTGTTTAAACCCTTGTGATTAATTTCAGGCAATGCGATAATTCACTTTACGTCTTTTAGGAGTTTGAAACTAGTTTATCCTACCAACGCAAGTCAAACTAACAAAACGGATCAAGTGTTTGTCGCCGATAGTTTAATGTTGCCACTCGAAAAAATGAGCGCGGAAATTAAAGTTTCCGCAGTTTTCAATTAATATCTAGGCCGATTAAAGTCGTACGAAGATGAAAATGGTATCGATGGATTCGGAGAATTTTTTGGAATCCGAGGATACGCGTCCTGAATTTCAACTCGGCGCCGTTCCATAGATATTCGAGAAAAAAGAATTTGGCACGTAGCCAAATCCCTCTAATAGGAAAAACCCAAGAAAAAAGTGGAAAATGTAGGGAAAACGTAAGGAGAAAATTAGTTTTTAATTAATATCTCGGCTAATTAAAGTCACACGAAGACGCGAATGATCAGAATGGCGTGCCACGGACCAGCGGAATCCAATGGCGTGCTTCGGTAAGCCCAGGAGCCAGCCGTTTCGGAGGAGATGATGTTCCCCATGTATATATGCGGCTTAAGTGTCTGTTTGTCGCCGATAGTTTGTACTAGCCTTTGGGGAGAAGTTGCCACGGCACAGGGTTGCCGTTTCAATTGAGACGTTGACAATTTCCTGTAAAACTTGCCTTTGTTATGACCATTCATAAGTCTCAGGGTCAAACGCTTAAGCGTGTTGGCATTTTTTTACCTGAGCCTGCATTTGGACACGGTTAACTTTATGTTGCCTGTTCAAGAGTTCGTGAAAAAACGGACGTAAAATTAAAAATAATGGATGCTCCTCTGCAAGGCGAGTTTAAAAATGATGTAAAGATCTACGCAAGAAATATTGTGTACAAAGAGATCTTTGACATGTGATTTAACATTTTATTATTTAAATCACCTTTATTTATTGAGCTAGTGGTGGGCTCTTAAGAAATGTACCGCCAGTGGTTTCCTTCATTGCACTCTACTTTAAGCAATTAAGCAAGTAGAAGGGGGAAACCCGTGGGGCAGCAAGCAAAGGGGCGTCCTCGCCGCCTGCCCTAGGTAATTCCGTTTGAATTAGCAGACACCTTGCACAAATAATTTTAATTACAATTTATAATATCTAGAACAGCGGTCATTTCGTACGACCGCTGGGCTTTCTAGTACATAATAACAGGATGTAAAATATCCTACAAAAATGCAACTAAATATAAGAATTTAATACCAGTTTGCAATGGCATATACGATATTAACTAAAATAATGAAATGGAGCAAGAAATTAATGCTTTTCT